TTCAGGCCTCAACCACCATAATTTTTTCTTTTCTTTTTTTTTTTTTTTTTTACCTTACTCTGCTTATAATGTGGTAGTCCTTTTTACTGAGGCTAATTTCAAGAATATCTGTTGAATTTCTCATCAAAATATCTGGGTAAAGCCTTACAATTTATTCTCTGCCATTTTCATATCTCGGAACAAAACAGTTTAGATAAATGAAAAGTAGTTCAAACAAAACTATTTACTTTCATGTTCCTAAACTAATATGTCAGCGGCAAAGGTTTGAGGTTAGACACTGGCTATCATCATATTGATTACATAAGGCTTGAGCAGAGCTAACTGTAAACTTTAACACAGGGTACAGTTGCTTTATTTTTTTTCCCCACCTTTAATTGTCATTACACTGTCACAAGTAGAGAGCAACGAAATTAACTCTGTGCATTTAAACCATCCCCTTGGGGAGCAGTGGGCTGCTACAGGGAACAGTGTGGGGTTAAGGGTCTTGCTCAGATACCCAGAGTGACAGTCTGTGGGAGTGGGGCTGGAACTCACAACCTCAGTATTCCAATCTCTATGCCCTAATCCCCAAATATTTTTGATCAATTCTGCCTTAACTCTGTTTTGCACCAAGATTTCCAAAACCTACAGTGTTCCTAATAAATCAAAATTTTCATTTTTAGGGAGGTTTAGCTCTTTTCTTCATGCTCTAATAGCTTATCAGCACAATGAACATGATAATATGTTATTTGTAACAGCCCTATTTTGTTTTGTAAGAGTTATTTGAGAATACTTTTATGCCATTTTATTAGGCAAATAAATTATTTGGATAATTTCAGATAACAGGGCAATAGTAACACCTCACAATGCTCCTTATTCATGCAGTGTTCGTCCTAAATAGTTGGAGTATTTGGGTATAAGACATTATGCCAAAACTGGCATCAACAACATTGTTTAAACTCCATAACTTATTAGAATACAACTAGCAATCCAAAAATAAAATAGTACAAGCTGATATTCGAAGCAGAGTAGTGGATTTATAACAAGTACTCTGTGGCTTATTTAGGGATAGGATGTGAGAGAAGAGGACTTTTAGCTAATTGCAGGAAGGTTGAATATATAACATTTAAGTTGGCCTATTTTTTTATTATTTTTTATATCAACCTCTAACAAAAAATTCTGGATTTGAAAATATTGTCAGTCTATGGAGAAGTTAAAGTTAATATTAAGACTTTCTTCTATAGAATTTTTGGTAGAGAGCGTTTAGTAATGCCAACCCATCCGCCATTGCTAGTTGGACTAATCACTGTTTTAAGATTAAGGTTCACTTTATGCCTTCTGTTGGTACCTCTAAGAAATCGGTTTTCTAGTTTAAGTGTTAACTCCCTAACCATGTATTTTATATTATTAGCAAAACCCTGTGTCACATGTGCTCTTTCTTCATACAGAGGTATTATGCAACCTCTGCTCTAGTGTTGATTGTGCCTCAAGGCAGAAAGGCTAGAGAGAAATAATATGAATTTTGTTTTTAAAACCTCTCACATTGTTGATTTTAAAGAGAATTAAAAACCTGCCAAAACAAATGATGGTAGGTCAAGATAAATACTAGCCATACAATCCGGATTGATGTATTGCCAACAAAGCATACGAAGACATTGCTTATTTTAACAATCACCCCCATCCTTACTGTCAGTGCTCTAAAAGTTTAAAGGATTTCAAAACACAGTTTTGAACCTGTTGACACATTTGAATGCATTCTGCCAGTCATAATTTACAGCAGCCAAGTTTATCCTGTACTTTGCATTGAGTTGAGAAGTTCTTAAGGCCACAGCTTATCTCCTCAAGCTTATATATGAATAAAACCACAATAGCAATGGAGTTTGTTGTAGTCATGGACATACAATCAGATATTTCCATTGAGGCAGAATTCAGAGCATTAAAAGGCTATAAAAGCTTTCACCACATCTCTGCTGACATTATGTCAACCTCTGTCATGGTGCAGAGATAGCCTTCATTCCTCTGCACATCAGGGGGCAAAGCTGCAGAGACAGCTGACTGCTGCTAGAGGAACCGTTCTAGCATCTCCAAGGACTGATCTTTTATGTAAAAAATAAAATATAAATAGCACACACACACGCTATATATATATATATATATATATATATATATATATATATATATATATATATATATATATATATATATATATATATATATATATATAGTACTATGATTAAAATTGTTATCTTGAACTGTCAGAGCTGCTTGGGGGGTATGAATCTCTATGTAAACTGTAGACAAAAGTCAAAATAATATATCAATTCAAAGTATTTGTCATTTTCACAGCATTAAGTTTGCATAAAATGTTTGTGATACCTCAACAAAAGCACTAATATAGGCTGTGCCACTGTTGAACACAATCTAATTCATTGATTAGAATGGTGAAAATTGCCCTTGGGAGAAAATGTGGTTATAAAAAAAAAAAATGTAAAAAAAAACAAACAAATCTGAACTGGCAGCTGGTTTCCTTTTGTGTTATTTAAACTGCTTATCAATTAGCTTTTGTCCTTCACTTTTTCAAATACAAATTGCATAATTGATCCATCTATCAATCCATCCATCTTCTCCCTCTTATTCCGTCAGAGTTGCCGTTGGGACGGGCACCCACCTCCTACAGCGTATGGGTGAGAAGATGTGGTACATCCTGAAATGGTCACCATGCACACACACACACCTAAAAACAATTTTGAGATGTCAATTAACCTAACAGTCTTGTTAGCTTTACTGGCTGATTGTTCAACCAAACAAACCAATTCCAGTCTGGATGTTCTGGAACAATCAACAATGTTTCCATCCATCTCCATTATAGAATGTTGAGCTAATCCCAAAAGTTTTCCCCTTCTCAAGTCACCACAAGGAGATTGGTTTTTGCTAGCAATAAAACAGAGTTCTGCTCTGGCACTACTAAATTTAGGATATTTGTATAAAAAATAAGCCTATTTTATTCCTAATGACAAAAATCAATATTGTATAATCAAGACTGTTAATGGGCTAAAGGTGATTTCAGGGTTTTATTAAAGACTAGAAAAGGCTTGAACAAAGTTCACCTATAAAAACCATGCAATGTACTCGTAAATATTTTTTTTTTTCAGAAATCAGTATTACTACACTGCATAGCAACATTCCAGTATCCAATATTGTCTCTAGCAGTGGCGAAAGAGTTCAAAATTCAGAATGAAACAAAATGAAAATTAAAAAAAAATTTGGATTAACTTCACGATGTGTTCAGTTTAAAATGGACGAGATAAATATCTTTAAAATGTTTCACAGAGGTACCTTTTTTGAATATTTCTTGCAATAATGCTAGCGTTAGGTTGAACCATTACTTTTTGTTTATGGCAATTAGATGGAATTTTATAATCCCTCTGTTGTCGGTCTTACTAAATGCCCACACAGTCTATCATGGGTCCCACCCTTTCCTTCACATTTCTTTAGTAATATCCTGTGAGAACCGTCTGACCCTGAAACTGCTTAGGTCTTCTTAGCTTCTTTGGGAAAAAGATGCATCCTTAGATATCCTTATTTTCTTTGTTTAATGACACTGCCACAGCTTATATTTTACCATGAAAATAGCATATTCATTAAGATGTGCAATTAAAATATCACCCTTCACATGAAGTCCAGAAACGTACATTTTGTCTTTGTAGAATAGAGCAACACTAGTTACTGGTAGGCATGTTGGTTTCTACTTCCTATGTGACTTGTGGTAACCTTTAGTTTACAAATGCTTTCTTTCAACAATGTATTTTTTACAGCTCACTAAACCATAAATGACAGATCTGAGCAACACACAACATTTTATTCAGACTTGCCACAGTACTCAGGGCTACTCTGAATTTTTTTTTTAATCTTCATATCATTGTAGGTTTGCAGTTTTCCCAATTTACATTTTCTGATAATTAACTAAACAGTGCTCCAAGAGCACTGTTCAACCTCTAAGTATTTTACTTTTGGATTGCATTGGATTATAGTATTTGGTGGTTGTTCAATTACAAAATGGAAAAAAAGTTAGAATTTGTTCAGATACTTTTACAAGGTACCGTACATGTACTTCTATTTCAACTGCATTTTCTTAATGTTTGTATTTAACTCTGAAGTGTATTGAAAGTCACGTCCTGCTAACTGCTGCCTGTGGCTGACTTCAAAGTCTCCTTGATTGTCCCATTATTTGTACTACGGCTTTTTTATACTTGTTTAAATTGATTATACTAAAAATCAAAGGTGAAACTCCAGTTTGCAGTATCCTTAAGGAGAGTTTGATTTACCATTATCACAGCAAGGTATATTTTTATTTTTTTTTTTCGAACCATGTTATTTTTATTTATTTATTATTTACTTGCAAGGAGTATTCCAATCATTAATTGTTTCTACGTTTTTTTAGAGTGTCAGCTCATATGAGGTTGTGTTAATCAAAATAAACTTGTGCACATTCCCCACATAGACTAAAGTGTGTTTCTGTGAGAGTAAGAGTAATGTGTATAAAACACCAGTATACGGCTGGCGGCTGTAATTGAGCTCACTAATTACTTCCTGAGCTGAGAGAGTTGTCAGAGAGAGGAGGAGCTGCCACAGATGGTGAGAGACCCACACTGACGCCAGGATATCCAGCCTCTTCATCACTGGATTTGAGGATGTGTGTTTGTGCGACACTCAGAAATTGAGAGAATGAGTCAAAGTGTGCAACCGAGATTGAGTGCTCAAATTATACATTAGGACCACCAAACCAGTGGTGCAGCACAAGGATGTTTGGAACTTGAAAGCTAGGAAGTGGTTATCAAATAAATTACTATTATCTGTCAAATCAAAAAGAGTCTCAATTCTCAACACTTGACGCTACTATGACCCAGTTTAACATAAACCATTAAACACCTCAAAAGCATATTTTACTCCTGTGCAAAAACACTCCTACCTAACTTTTCAGCCTTCTTTTTGTTTAACATAATTCTGGCAGGAACACTCACCACTGTGAAGGTCCATCGGTACCGCTGACCTCCAACAGGTCATAGTCATCCTCCAAATGAAAGTCAGAGAAAACCAAGGCAATGGTATCTCCAGGCTCGGCAAGTACAGTCCAGGTGCAGTCAGCGTTGTTGTTATACTCAGTTGGATAGTTGGGGGTGGTGATTACCCCACTCTGTCCCCGCAATGTCCCTCCACATCCATCATCGGCTGTAAAGAAAAGACAGTTAGGGAAGTCTAACAGTTAGGGAAGTCTCAAATTAATATCATGGTGAAGTAATGATAATTCAAAACATAAATCTCAGAGATAACTGCTGATGTTCTGAAAATGAATGCAAGTTGGGAAAGTAGAAAGGTTAATAAGCAAAAGTTGTAACTTTAATGTGGCTAACGTTTTATCTTCATTTAGGAGGTTAAGATGCTTAAATCCACAAGTCATTAAAGACAGAGACATACAGTCTTAAAACAAGATTAAATTTAAGTAATTGTATTTTTCTGCTACATAAAGTAGCATTTCTGTTAACTTTACATCTCCCTTCAAGACATTTTTTGGAACCACCAGTCAGAGAATTACAAAATGTTAATGAGTTTTTATCAGATTTCCATGTCAACACTAACTTAATAACTACAGGTATTACCAGCAGGTTTAGAATGATAAGGTATGTCGGTGGCATGAGTGCCAGCAGGTACCAATAAGTGCCTTTAAAAACAAATGTTAAATCTGTAAATATTAAGTTTTACATCCCCTAATGCTTTGGCAGCAGGGGACCTAAAAATTCTTTTAGTCACTGTTTTCTATACCAGAATGCACTCCAAACATCCCTTGCATCCAACTGTGAACTGGATGATGGGTGGTAGTCTTTACCACTTTTACCACCACTTTGGGCTTTTATTTGAGAGGCACTCCACTCCATTGATATTTGTCCAATCAATTCAGAAGTGCACAACGGAGGTTTGTCAATTCAACCAAACTTATTTTTTAAATCGTTTTTGCTAATTGATTTATTTTTTTAATAGTGTCCAATCTGGCAATGCGGCAATAAGTATCATTGTCTTAATGACAAAAAGAGCCCAAAAGATTTTACTCTCACAAGTGGAGCATTATCGCTTTTGCCATAGTGCTCTGCTTAATTTGTATATGTAAAAAGTTTTATTATTATTTAATAATTCATGTTATGTGGACACTACATTGAAAAAGTAGAAGAGGAGAGAGAAATGAGAACAAAAAAGGGAGAAAAACTGAAAGAAAGAGGAGATAGAAGAGAGAGATTGGCAAAACTTCAATCTGCTTCATCACCTGCAAAGAGAGATGTAAAAAGAACTGCACAACCAACTGATATAGAACTACAGATACTATATAGCAACACCTTGATACCATCACTGAAGTATATACAGTATTAATAAATGAGAAATGTATAAAGTGGTAGCTGAAGATAAAAATCCAAGGCTTAAATTTAATTTATATTCTAAATGTCTATATTGTAAAAGCCCCTGACGGCTGTTTGTAGAGATGTTTAAAAATAGTTCTTTATTCAGTTGATTATCTGTGTTGTTGTCAATAAAGTTTTGTCATGCACCAAAAAAAGGCTCTTACTTGTTTTGCCGAAAACCTTAATCTAAGGTCAGTCACTAAAGGCTGTCACTACCTAAACCTGATACAATAGCTTCAATAAGTCTTCTAAGGGATTACCTTAATCCTAACTTTGGTGGATAAGGTACCTAAACAGAAGGGTCAATGGATTTAATACAGCTCTGTTCAATTCCTGCTGGGTTCTTCTTTGATTTCGTGACTGGCTTTCTGTGTGTTCTTCTGACATTGATTTTAGCAATAGCATCGAGATCCACAAAAAGCAGCGGAAAACTGAATTCTTCATTAAATATCATATATAGAAGTTTGTTAACTGAAAGCGCCACTACTACTGTAAATTCAGTTAGAAATTTCAACAAAAAGAGCATAAATAATTTGTCAAATCAGTGTCTTACTTGCAGCTGTAACTAAATATCTTACCTGTAACTAGCTCTGGGTAAGCTATGGGACAAATCCCCACCCATTCCTCGGGCCCATTTGTTAAGCTGGTGGTCCCCTAAGCATCAGGTTATCTTAGCTCTTTTTCATATATTTCACAGCCTTTCATTGCTTACCATATTTAGAGAAAGTTTGTAAAAACTCAACGAAGGACCTTTAAGGTCACAATCTGTTGAATTATGACAATATATTCTCTGTATCCTATAATCCCACAACAGTCTGGTACAACCCAAACAGCAATTCTTTATTCAGTACAATAAAATACTGTAGTGAATTACAGAATATTTTTCTATTGTGTTTTTGGAGGCTCTTGGAGTTAAGACAGCTTTTGCAGGAAAAGAAGGACCAATACCAATATGGAAATCCTTTGCTTGATAACTTATATTACAGGTAGAAGGTCTGAGGCTTAACACAGTGTTGTATCTAAAAAAAAAAAGGGGACGTGATATGTGACCTTATTGGTACCTTTCAACATTTTACAGGTTTTTTCATTCAATAGGAGTATGTCTGTCAATAGGATAGATTATAGTGGCCAAGCATTTTAGAGGGTGTGATGTTATAAAGTGGAGACAAGGACCTCAAAAGCCTGTCCATCATTCTGGCAACCTGTCACGGTGGCAGACCCCCAAAGGGAGGGCGAGAGTGAGTATGGGCGAGCGGAAACCTGAGGGTGTGATTTTCAACGGGAGGGCAATCACCACAGAGGGGAGAGAACTGGGGATGAAGAGGATGACAGGTGACATGTGAGGACAGGCAAGGAAAAAAAAAGGGAGAGAGGTGGACAATAAATAAAGAGAAAGATGGCATGAGGGATGACAGGTGATTGTTGCAGTGGGAGAGACAGGTAGTAGAAAGCAGACAGAAAAACGCATAAGGAAATACATTGACATTCTACACAAGAATGCTTCTTCACACTTGAAAGGATCTCTTGACTTTAAACTCTTCCCCTTGCCTTGACTCTTCAGCACCCTCAGCTCTCTCTGGCTGTGATTGGCCACCGTGTGCAAGTTGGACAAAAAATATTTAGAGGTACCCATTAAGGCAAAATCTATAATATCAGAATAAAATTACCCCTTTTTTAAGTAAATAAATGTTCATTTTAAAAGGCTAATCATGACTGAACCATATAACACATATATTACGGCTGCTCCTTTTTTCCTTTGATTTAAGGTACTTCTTTCTGCATGTGAGCACCATTGTAAACTAGATATTGCAGGAAAGAAGAAAGTAACACATACAAGTAAAAAAAAAAAGATAATTTATTTTAGGCACTGAATGAAATGGTTGCTGATATAGTCAGTTAACCTGCAAATCAGGACGAAAGAGAGCTAGATTTAAAAATATAAATACTATTTAAAAAAGTATAACTGGATGACATTGGTGACATCAGATAACATGACCATCACAGTTTTATAAGGATTCTCAAGGAGGTAAAGAAGAACAACATTCCAGATGGTAGTTCTGGTTGATAAAATGCCGAAGATCCAAGGAAGACCTCACCATGGGACAAATATGTTTAAAGGATCAGTAGTTTAACAGATTTGAGGTGATGTGCTACAAACCCTTTATTTTTAGGTGAATCCAATGTGTATTTGGTGCCAGAATCACTATTTGCCATCAAATGGCAGTGATGCTGCCTTCGGCACCTTTGTTTATAGATGTTGCAGATCGGCCTGTTTTTCCAGTGGAGTCCTGTTTCTCTGACAGAGAAACAGGACTCAAACTGTTTCTCAGAGCTTGTCTGCCTGGCTGTGTGTTTCCTGCCTTTTACAGCTGCTTTTTGTATCTCTGCTTCTGTCTCCTTGAACCCCAGTCAGTCTCGGCAGATGGCCGCTCACACTGAGTCTGGTTCTGCTGGAGGTTTCTTCCTGTTAAAAGGGAGTCTTTCCTCTCCACTGTCCCTACAAGCCTGCTAAGTATGAGGGATTAGATAGAAAACTTAATCAATTTGACTATATGATCTGGTTGAACTGTAAAGTACCTTGAGATAAACTGTCTTGTGAATTGGCGCTAAATAAATAAACTCAATTGAAGTGAAAATATTTTTTGGATCTCTAAAACTGAAACCGATGTTATTTTGCAGCAGCTTGCCCACCTTTCTTTTTCCTGGTGTTTTTTTTTTTTCTTTTTTTCTTTTGATTAGAAGACCTAATCTGATCTAAAGACTCTCTTCTCCTCCTCCTACTCCTCTTCTTCCAGGTTGATCCAGAGCTTATGATTCGATAGACACTGTACTCACAAGGGGCAAAGTGTTATCAACATTGAACTTAGTGTAATCTTTTCTGATTCAGTCGATCACCTGAACATTAGCACATAGCTCTTTTTGCACGGTACAGCTGAAACTTTAGCTGGGAGTCATCTTCATAATATTACCTGCAAGCTGAATTTTCTCAGTGTTTGAGTGGTACCAAGAATACAACAATCAATTTTGTACAGCTCATCTGTTTCATCTGCTCCAGACCAACCCAAAACTGACCAATCATGTAGTAGTATTACAGTAATAGCCATTAAAAATGTCCCTACTTTCCTTGACGGGCCCTTGGCTGGTCCCCGACAATTCCTTTTTAAACATCAATCTTTGGACTAATACCTTCTTTCTGTCATGTTTTGTGTACATTAAGATCTAAAGAGAAATGTCATCTCTTGGTCAGACCCTGTAATTCAGTGAAAGGGTGGAGTCAGAATAAAAAAAAAAATATGCACGCCCAGGAGTAGAAGGGGGTCACTTCAGTGGCTGTAAGTTGGAGGGGATTCTGCTGGGAGTTGCAGGGAAGTGGGCAGCCATTCTGCTGGCGCTTGATTGGGAAGGGCCATTTTGAATGGCTGCTACTGTATGGTTTTATGTGGATGACATAGCTGTGACAGCTGAGCTAAAATCTCCATGACAACACAATATGGCGTAGGTGTACCTGCTGCTCCTCTTACATCTGTTTTGTCGGAACCTAAGATTTCATCTTTGAAAGCGGAATAGCGAGAGCTGTGGTTTCTCATGGCATCTGCTGATTTTTTCATTTGATACCTTGATGGTTAAAACTTTGATTACAAAGTAATAAATGAAAAACATGGCTTTAGTAGGCAGACACTAGATGTCTCTTTGCCCAATCGGCTTGGAAGGTTCACATGGAAGGCTGCATTTTCATTCTCTTCCATAAACAGATTTAATGGTAGAAGCTCCAAAATGATGCAAAGGACTAAACCTAAATATTCGACATTATCAGTTGTTTTTTTGTTTTTGGATTCTCCTCCTGCTATCCTCATGTACTGGTCTTTTAGTAGGAAAGGGGGAGCTAACATCTCTACTGAACCCACACGTCACAGACACAAACTTCAGATAAACCTTTAAATCAGCATCAGCGGTTTTTGCAAAAACAGCTACTACAGAACCTATTTTTTTCCTACATCATCAATCAATTGAACATAATAAACAATCTACAGCCTAAAATCTATCCATCTGTATCTAATGTGAGTACGATGTGAGCACTTCTAACAAATGTTAATTTTCTTGCATGTGCACAAAAACATGGCCTAAAAAGCCTATTCTTAATCTTTAGCAGTTTTTGGCTGATATGTTCACACAGTTGCTTGTTTTTTTTGTCTCTCAAATCTCAAGTCTTTAGAAGTGTAAGTCCAAGTCAGGTTTTTGAGAGATAAAGCTAAACCAATTCTAAGTTCTATAAAGGACTAGTCTAAGGGTCATCTCAACTGTTTCGCTATGTCAGAGCCAAGTCAATTTAAACATTGTTTAAACATATGATCTTCCTTATTGCTCTAAGTTAGGAATTCAAAGCTGTACAGTTTCCTCTAGTTGTTTTTGTTGCTTTCCTTGTTTGAATTTGTATTAATAATTTCCTCCTTCACTCAGATAACTGGAATATTTAAATCATTGGTTCCTACTTGTTTGGTTGATTGTTTGCAGCTTTATCTGTTCCCTATTGAACCTTATAACATGTATTCATTGGTTCCTTTGTGTTTTGCTCTTTTCTTCCTTGTTTGCTTAACATTATTAATATTAGAATAAACAAACTCCCCCCACTGCATGTGTCCTGACATCTGTTTGCATTCCTGACCAGAAACAAAACCCGTGAAGGTTGGGTTACAAGTCTTTATGACAAACGTCTAGTATGAGTCTGAATCTTTCCATTTATGTCATTTAATGCCCTACGAGTCCAAGTCTCAAACTGGAGTTTCTATCTCTCTGTTTTGATTCTATCCTGGTTATTTGGCTTCATATTTGCCTTTTAAATTGTTCATAGTAAAATCATTTCAGGGCTTATAATAGATTATCTATGCAATCATTGGCTATATTTAATGTTTGGCCCAACACTGCTGGCACTCTGACTTTAAAGTAGTGACCATGCCAAAATGTCCTCTCTGCTAAAAAAACGAAAGTGAGAGCTTTACACCTCCACATATGGGCAGGCACCATAATTGAAGTGACATTAACAATACACTTGCGCATTATGAAAGTGCACTCAGGTGTACAAGTTGACTTTTATGTGGCCACAAAGGGACCTCAATTAATCACAGCAAAATTGCTGGTTCCTAAAAGTTGTTGGCGTGTAATTTCAGCTAAAAAGGTGGCCTAATCACATCACTGAGTGTTTGAGAATTTCTCTTTTAAAGGTGGAGACTTTTTGGGCATGATGGGGAATGGGCAGCAAAACTAGTAGCTGTGTTATTTTATTAAAATAAAAATCACTTTTTTTTACCTCACTATTCCACACTAGTGTTAAATGTCAACATTCCATGCTATTCCAGATTGATATTTTAAGTGTCCCTTTTAGAATAACGACTATATATATATATA